TAACAAACAAAAAAGTAACTTCGATTTTAATAGTAAAAATTGACATGTTTCACAAAAATTTTACATAGCTATGACAGTAGAGTAGACATGTCGATCGCGTGAAATCCTGTCTGACTGTTATGTTAAAAAATTATGTTAATATAAAATGTTAATTAAAATAAAAAAGTCGATTATCCATTAGTGCTGATCCATTTATTTTAGCATAGTACGATGCAAAAAGTAGATTAATTCACTATATTCTTAAAAATACTTTGTATTTCATAAAAACTTATTTCCCTTCGAAAAAAATTTTTTTTTTATTTTGCTATATACTCTTTACATTGTCTACCAAATCTTCCCAGGTAAGTTTCATAATAATAAAAAGTCCACCAAATCTTCCCACCGTCTATGGTGGGACAAAAATACTATAGAAATAGTCAAATAACTGATCTATAAATAAATATACATACATACATATTTATAAAAATGAACCAAATTCAAGTCTAATTATTTTAAACATAACTGACAACTTCTAGCTTCTTAATCTAATAGTTTTGTTTTTTATTTTAAATTAGAATCAAATCATAAATGCAATCTGTGTCAACATTATGAAACTATATCTGGTTTTTGGAGTGTTACTATTACAAAAAATAGAAGAGGATGAAGAGGATGGATGAAATTTATTCTAGTTTATCATGAAGCTGTATTTGTTCAAATATTTAACAAGTGTTGATAGGTAATATATATGTGTTTTTAAAGAAGTAGCAAAGAAAATTTTAAATGAATATTTGGGGTTAGAAGAATGTGCCATTAAATATTATTTATGAGAATAATAAAGCTATTTTCTTACATATTGTATATGTACACGATCAGAAGGTAGAGGAGATGTAGAAGGAAATAAAAATTGTAGATGGTAGAGGAAATGAGACAATATGCAATGCAATAAGTTGAACGTTATGTTTAAATAGATTTAGGTAACAATAATAATTTATAATATTCTTTTAATAAAAATTTTTCTTCAAATTATACTAATGATTATTGCTATAGGATAAAATACATAATTCTTGCTGATTACAATTAGGGTCTTCCTTTATTATTATAATAAGAACTAACAAACTATGCTTCGCGTCACAAACTATATGTCTTGTGTCACGAATCATGCTTTGAATCACGAATTATTATTATGCCCCGCGTCGCGAATTATTGCTTCAGAAGACCCTAGATTTCATATGATTGTTACTTGGGGCGTTGATTAAATGCCAATGTTTTCTTTATCTACCATTCAACAAAAATTTATTAATTATAATTTGTTGTGCTAATTATAATAAAAAAACATATGTTAAATTAAAAATAGCAAATATACAGTATATTTTACATTTAATTGTATATTTTCTTTTATAGTTATCCTAGTGAGTTTAGCTATTGCAGAAGGAATGTTATTGTTAACCGTTTGGGTCATGTGAGTTTATAGTGTTGTGACACTAAAAATAGTGTGTCATTAATTTGAGATGATCAACAAGGGGAAATTTGTTAATAAATAAATTATAATTAGCAGTAATGTTTAGTCGGTTCCAACATAAAAGATTTGATCTTTTTTGACCTCAAATAAATAACATATAATTTCATGCTAATTTTTAACGATTAATTGAATACAATCGTAAGTTGTTTTATATCTAACATTTTATTTTATTATTAAAATAAAAATAAAAAACTATAAACTAACAATAAAAGCTTTTCAAATAATTATTATAAGCAACAAAAATTCCACGAGAAATATGAATTTTTTTTATTTATTCAGTAATAATAGTATATTTTCAACTCCCTCTCCCTCTCCCTCTCCCGACAGGTTGTTCCCCGCAGATCTCTTCTTAAAAAAAAAAGGAAAAGAAACATTTTAGTAATTAGTCAAACCTCGTTATAACGAATTTGTCTGTATATTCTTTTTTAGAATAGAATAAATTATTAATATTTCTTTATTTACCTAACTTCCAATAAACCATTTTCGAATTTAACATTCATTTCATCCATCACCTTGGACTGGTGTTTGATCATCAAAAATATGTTACATCAATATAACAAATGATTATGTACAGATTTTTTAATATCTTTATCATATATTTAAATGTTGACAACAAAATTCGACCAAGAATATATTTTTTTGAACATGAGAAATTTCTATTATTTATCAGTTATGATGAGAATTTTTATGATAATAAACCGAGTGAGTAACTTTAAATCATTCTACTTTTTTTTCATAATAAAGTTATGGAGAGCCTTTTGCTCTAGCCTATTTGGTTACAGTTTATCTATTAGTGATTTTTTCAACGTCTTTGCTATATATATATATATATTATTTTTTTTATTTCGCAAGGAAAAAAACTCTCTGTAATCTAAAAGCTTGACCTATTTAGTGTAGTTTCATGTTTGTATCTCTTTATTCGAAGGCTCTGATGCAATTTTTATTTTTTTTAGAAAAAGGTTTATTATTGGTTCCCTTGGACCCCGTTGACACACGGGATTTTTTTGGTTCACTCGCTTAAATTTACCGAAATCACGTTTGTTCACGAAATTCAATATTTAATTCAACGTTTTGTACTCCACGAAGTTCTGCGTGAATAACGAATTCTTTGTTTGCAGAATGAACTATTTTTTTATTTTATTTTGAATGAAAAAAAGTCTCATCTATCACGTGCACATCTATTTATCATTTATTATCACCAACACGAGTTGTAATTATTTTTCCAATCATACGTTGAAGAGGTGCAAGACCATCGTTAGTGACAGGCATTTTGGTTTTTATATACTTATTTTTTGGTTTGGTTTGTTTCTAGAAGTAAAAGAAGACCTCACTATAATCAAAATTTTAGGTTGGCTAGTTTGAGTTTCACGCGCGTGAATTTATGTACTTGTTAATTATTGATTTTTCACACAATTAAGTGATATAGTCACATAAAATAGGAGAAGATTATAATCCTTCGCCCGGTCTGTTATGGACAATTGTTTATTGACATTATGTTAATGTTATTGATATTGGGATTTATGTGAATGCTATTAGGACGAGGATAATATTATTGTAGCGATGGTATAATTGCAATCAATGCTGTCATGGAGCGGATGTTTGATTGATTCATGATGTGAAGGCCTCTTTCCTGCGATCTATTTCTTCACGTTGTAGAGTCATTCTAAATTCTTTTCTTACCCCTACCTACTTATTTCATATTGTTCTAAGAAATTAACTCCAGGTTTTGGCGAAGAAGCTTTCTTGCAAAGTATGAATTATATGAAGATTATTTTTTGTAGTTTTGATTGGTTATTGGTACAATTTTTGTTGATGGGGCTGGGAAGAGTCACTGCAAAGGAGAGTTCACTCTTCCAGTGATTATGTTTGGATGCCACAGTTTTGAGACTAAATGTTTTAAACCTTTAGGTGCATTGAAATAGGAATTTTCTCATGATCTTTAGTATGTCTTCTTTTTGTGCAAAACGATTTTATTATTTTTGATAAGATGGTGAATTATTGTTTACGTATTTTAAAAACGGTGTCCTCCACACCAGAAGGTCAATTATCAAAAAGGAAACTGAACTTATGAGTTGCGTGACGTTTTTAAAATCAACCGTTCATATAACGTTCAAGGTAAATGACGAAAAAGAAGGTTGGCACGAGAATCGATTATATTTTTTGTGATTCTGAGTTGGATTCTAGGGCAGTTGAATGAAAAATTGATCATTAATGGTTTGATATTCAATATTTATTATTAGGGTTTTAATTATCGTGTCAAAGCGCATGGTATAACTAAAGTATGGATGGCTATACTATAAAGCCTCGGGATCTTCATTCAGCAATTGCTGGCCGATCTTCATTCTACTACTCAAACTATAAACATCAATCAATTTACACCGGATGCTTAGTATCAAAAAAATATTCACGGAGATTTAACAAAATAATTGGACATTTATTATATGTTCTACTCGTTAATTTAATAAATTTACTTTATTTATTTTTTTTAATATTGCGTAAAAAAAAAAAAAAAAATAATAAAAGAAAAAAAAAAAAAATACTATATATATAGCTGAATAAATAAAAATGTTTTATAGGCAGAGTATAATATATAAATATATAAATATATAAAGGAATTTAATATAAATCATAAAGCAATATACATATTTACAATTTTTCAAAAAAAAATCTTATAATCTATATGAAATAAATAAAGATAAATCTTTGCATATTAAAATAATAATTATAAATAAAATAATATTAGTCATAGAATATCTAAAACAAAAGTGGCAATACATTGTCATCCAAATCATCACCAACCCAATCACTACTAAGTTCCATAATCCTAGCTTCAATCTGACTTTGTTCAACTACTTGTTGCAACATTGAATCATATAACCAATCAAGGACTGAGGCTTCCTTAATTGATTCTACCACTATGTTATTGTTTAATAGCTGTATTTCTTCTTCTCCTCCTTTTTCTTCTTCTTGTTCCTCTTCTTCCTCCTCATTTTCTTCTTCTACTATTGCCACTACTTGTTGTTGTTCATCATCAATAATTTGTTGAACTTGAATATTATCATCATAATTATCGGAAACATTAACATACAATAACTTATTATCATCCTCTTTTAATAAAGGAAAAAGTTCAGGTAAAACAACAGGATGTCGAAATAGAGCGGGAATCATTTGTTGTTTAGGTGTGGTAACAACTGCTTCTAAAAACAAAGAGGTAATTTGTTGTAGGAACGTAGAAACCAGCACATAAGCGAACCAAAACTTTTGGTTTTTGTTAATATCGTTATTATTATTATTATTACAAGTGTCAAACTCTGCTATTGTTGTTGTTGGTTTCATCCTCCATTAATTTATCATTTCTCAAGAAATCCATGTCAATATAAGTTTCAAAAGCGTCATCTAAATTTCCGTAAGGATTACGGTTAGAAGCCATTTTGTTTTTAGTTTTTTTTTAGTTTTCTCAACGACTTCTTAATAATGGTTTATATAACTATTTAATACCAATAAATATTTTTTGTTTACTATGTTAATTGAAATTCAGAAAATTTTTAATAAAAAAATGTTTAGGGAGGAAAAAAAGAGATAATTGAAATTCATAAAATAAATTTTCTAAATTTGTCAACTATATATATAACGAATGGCTGTGCGACAGTAAATTCTAGCAATTTTCTCAAATTTCGCGTATTATTTATGTTATTGGACGCATTTTAACAAAATAAAATAGTAAAAAATACATATAAAAATTTTTTTTTGACTTACTACTCTACACATAAATAAATATAAATAAACCAATTTATTATTTCAACTCCTTTTCTTCTCCGTTATCATTACTATTACTATTGTCACCTCCGCCACCCCCTTCACTACTTCCACCACCACCCCCTTCAATGTTGCCACCACTATTCCCGCCGAATCTTGCAAGTCTCTTGGCTCTTAATTCGTCAATGGTTGGTTGATTAATCAATATATTATTATTATCATCTTCATTAACATTAATTTTTTTGTCATCATCATCATCATCATCTTTTGAATCTTGATTCTTATTTTTGTCTATTGTCAACCCCAAACTAGCTGCAATAGCCGCATTCATCATTTCTTGATCTATTTCTTGTAAATTACTTTTGTCTCTTTCAATACGATTAACAGTATCTGGGTCAGGCAATTTTGATGCATTTTCATCAGCTTGACTAATAGGTAAGTCACCCTTTATCACAAAGATGCTATATCCTTTTTTTTTTTTTTTTGAAAAAAGAAGACTTTTTTGTAAATATTTCTTGAATATATAATAATAATAATTGACAGATTATATGAAAAAAAAAAAATAACAATTCGTTCATTAGTTCATTTATTCACTCATTCATTCATTTAGTTTTTACCATTATTTTCAAGTTGATTCAATAACATTCCTAAATAAGTTGGACTGATCCATTCGGGTCCTTTAAGAAGCGAATCTAAATTGTACCAACGTGCTCGAAGCCCTCCAAATTTTCTTAAAGTAAACCTTTAAATAACAACAATAAGTTCGTTATTAATATTATTTGAAGTTGAAACATTTGTTGAAACCAAATTATAAAAAATAAATAAATAAATCATTTTATATTTTTATATTACCAATGCTGATTAAGGTTGCATATATATGCTATTTCATCTCTATTTGAAAATAAAATAATCAACTTAAAAATATTCGATTTAAGGGAAAGGTGCAAATTATTTGGTATAAGTACTCTGGTTGACTTCTTGATCCACGTCCCGCTTCAGAGCCAATTGGGACCATTTCTTGTTATTTTAATGAAATATATAACAATTAATATATATATATACATATATACATATGTATATGTATTTTAAACCATTTATTAGAAAGAGAAATTCTAATACCTATATTCCAAACTTCTAATGCCATATTTAAAACCTAAAAGATATTTATTTAATTTTGTTTAGCAAACAATAACATTAAAATTAAAAGTCAAGTAAATCTAAAAAGAAAATTAAAAAATCTAAACACTTTCTTGTACTGAAAAGAATCCTATAAAATAATCAATTCATGAAATCATATTTCAAATTACACTTGTCTCAATCATCATTAAAAAATAATATAATAAAAATTTATAAATAAATAAATAAATACCTGTATCATCCATGTTTTGACTTGTGTTTGGTTGCTGTTGTGAATTTTGTTGTTGATCCGGAGAAGTCATTGCATCATGTTCTGCTTGATCCAATCTACGACCTATTTCACCTAAATCTACTGCTGTAAAATACTCGCCTATATTTTTTTGAAAAAAAAGATATATTATATATAACAATATAATTAAAATCTATAATTCATTAAAAAAACATTTACCTTGGAGAAGTGAGTTTAAGCAATGTTGTGCGCATAAATATCCTTCTTGCTTTTTTTTAAAAAAATTACAATATATTTGTAAAGGCACAACATTTCAGAAAATTTAACAATAAATTATTTTATTTTCAAAAAACAAACCTTTTCCCAGAAAAGAAAAGGAATAAGATCTGCCATTGAATGGGGTTTTTTAAAGAAAATTTGGTTTTTTTTTGTATATTGCCTTTTGATATTAGAGTAAAATCATCATGAAAATGACGTCATATTTCATGCAGATCAATGGGGATATTGCCGGTAAAAATTTCAGATCATCTGACTGCTTGTCAAACAGTAGTTTAGTCTAGGAAGACAAAATTCACCCCACCTCTATATGCAAATTGTTCCTAAGTACAAAGAAAACTATGGAGTTATAGAATCTAAAGGATCTTACAAACCAGTTACTCCTGAGCAAGTAGAAAAAACCACAAATGCCCTTGCAACCCACAGTTGACAATATCATTGCAAACAGAATAAGATAATTGGGGCATACTGCAACAAAACCAGACAAAGTGAACATTGGTATTACCAAGAATTTCAGGGATCAAAATTTAGTAAT